TAGGGGAATTTTGGTTAAGCCTTTACGTAATGAGTTATGTGGCTTGATGCATCTTTTCTATTTATAAAATTTGTATTAGGTTTAATGGACTTTTCCTTAAAGTTCTTTAAAATGCCCCTCCACTTCAAATATCCCTTACAAGTTTTTACTTAAGTTTGTTGGCCCAAAACACGTTTGGTCCAATGACTCGAGCAATTAAATGGACCTTCCAAACAAGTCAGCTCGGGTATTCTAGGAAGGCCTAATTTAGGAAAATACCTCTATTAAATTAGAAAATCCAAATTAGGAAACTATTTTTTAATATTTTAGGAAACCCAATTTAGAAAACTATTTTTTGATATTTTAGGCAATTCAATTTAGAAAACTATTTTCTAAATTATTGGAAATCTAATTTAGGAAACTATTTCTAAAATTCTTTCGAGTGCTTAAAGAATTGAAATTCCCATTCTTTTTCATAATTCTTCGCTTCTCTTTATCCGAGTCAATGTCAAGCTTATATGAGTGACTCAATATGTATCTAGATATGTTAGTAATTTATCGATAAACAAAACATAGTTCTTTTATCTCTAGATACATAAATCAAGATTGATCTCTAACGAGGCATAATGACTATCTAATTATCAAGAAGGATTACTTAATCTATAATAACATTTCACAAGTATGGTTTCTATATAATTTAGTTGTCATGTTAATTTATCATAGTGTGATCTCAAACTCGATTTGTTGTCTAGATTAAGATCACACAAGTTTTCTTGGATCTTTGAAAATGTTTTAGCTCTCAAGTAAACCAATTATGCTCTAATGGTAAACTTTCATTGTGGTCATAAATTCTTGAGTAGACATTTATCAAAGTACAATGTGAGAACTGCTTTTAACATATATGGACTAACATGTTCTATCTCGATTATCCACTTATCTCCTTTAGATTTCGATGTGCCCAAGGAATCACCCACATGTAGTACTTTAATAAGCTCATCGTAATGAATGTCAAAGTACACCAATTTTCTAATGAGATAACTATGATAACTTGAAGTCAAAGGACTATTTAGACCCATCTCATATGAGATTATCATAGACTATACCAAATAGGCTTTCATGATGAGTCACTTCCAATTATATGTTTTTTAACATTATTTACTCGTGTGCTCGCTTAGGTATTATCATTCTAGTAGATGTGAGATCTCCCTACTCGTTATCCTATAGCATGAGCATAGCACACATAAGTATTACCGTATATTATCAATGACCAATTTTGACAATGATATAACTTAAGACATTTAATAATTTCATTTAAGTGCATTAGTATTTATCTCATATTTTTTGATCAATCATCAAAGCAATGAATATCATATGAATTGCTATCTAATTAAATCAAGTTATAAATAATGTAAATTGATAAAAAGTCTTCTTTATTAATAAATATGTAATAGTACAATATTCAAACCATCAAAACATTGGATTTTGGACACCTACACCGACGTGGTCTTAAAAATGATAAGAAAACATAAAAGCTTTTTCTCCCTCAACTTCCTTGTTTCTTTGTTTGAGCCAAACGAACCCTGTCTCCCTTAAAATCCCACAATCTTCAATGTCATGCAAATTTAACATAACAAACTAACGATCAATTGAGCATATTCATTAACATAAAATCAAAATTTACATCAACATCAACATAACATCAAACCTAAATCCTATAAATTTAACATCAAGATTTAAACGAGTACATATATTGTTTGTTATACATTATCTAGAACACATTCAATAAACCCTACAAATTCAAAAAAGCCCAATCAACCTTAACCTATTCCCAATAACATACTATTTAACCATCGACGAACCATATTAACATAACAATAATTACAACTAAACAATCAACACAATAATTACATCCGGAATGTTTCTTCTCTCTCGTCTTCATTATCACTCGCCAATCTTCTTTTTTAGAACCATATTTTCTTTAAACAAACGCTCATTCTTAGTAGCTAACCTCTTTTCATTATACTTCAAAGTATTAATTACATTTCTTACTCTTCCTTTCACCATTGGATCTTAAAATTGAAAGTAATTGTATTTTTGACTCGCCATATTCCGTGTTGAATTTGGAACATGCAAAGAACCTTATTCTTGAATTATTATTACTCCATGAAGTGCATCGAGGAGCTAGGAGTTCGTAATTACGGTATCTCATAGGAAAATCTTCGAAGATAATCATACCGGGGTTTTTAAATGAATAATAAAAATATGTCTTCCACATTACATGCTTTTGAAGTAGTAGTAGAAGAAGAAGAATGTGAACTCATGAAATCTCATAATCACATACCAAATTTAAGGAAGATTTCAAAAATTGAAAATGCCCTAATTGATTCTACCCCAATTCAATCGGATTGAAAAAAAAACAAAACCTTAACATTATCTCTCTCTTCTCCTAGCAATATCGTCTCTCTAGTGTTTAAGTATAAAATCAAGTTAACACTCGCCAAATCTCTCTCTCTCTCTCTCTCTCTCTCTCTCTCTCTCTCTCTCTCTCTCTCTCTCTCGAATTGTAGAACAAATTATAATTTGGCTTCGTCTTTCCTCGATCGTTGCCTAAGTTTGATTAAGGATACAAGGCGGGCGACGAGTCGTCCGCTTTATATTCCTAATCTTATACTTAATTTTAATAAAGGTTTTAAAAAAATTTAAATGCAAAAGTAACATTTAATGTCAATTAAGAAAATTGAATCAATTTTGTCTAATCTCTAATACTTTGGGATTCAAATTATGCGATTTGATACTATAAATCCAAAATTGCCAAATTGCAATAGATTGGAGGCAAAAATTGCCATTAAATCCTATCTAATAGTAGGATTTGAACTTAAAATTTTCTTATGAGTGCTTTACTACTTGTACAAGCTCTTGTTAGAATTAAAACATATACGGTTCCTCAAGTATGAACAATTGATCAAATTAACCCCTTTAATATATTATTTTTGGTCAAATGGAATTCTTTGCTTTAAATTAGTCCATGATTGAATCCCTTTATCCACCGGGGAATATGTGGCATCCATATAACGATCATGGGTTGAAAGTTGGACTCAGTAATTGATAAATTGAAACTAGATCGAGGACTCAATCTGATTAAAAACAAAGTAGAAGGTTAATTCGATCAAATTTGACATTTGAGAGAGCATTTGTGATTTTATGCCATAAAATTAACTTTCTACAACTTGCAACTAAATTCAGCTGCTTTCTGACAATCCTAAGAGTAAATTTTGTATATTTGCACTAGATTTTAAATGATATAACTATTTATTTCGTTCAAAAGAGCAGTCAGGATGTGCATGCAGGTTGATTATTTTCCAGGAAATTAACTGGGTCGTCTAATAGGACATGGACTTAGATGTCACATGTCTCGTTTAACTGTATATGCCTTAGAGAGAAATCTACATCCGTGTACCACGACTACATCAATCTATTTCAATCTTATTAGTAATTTCCTCATAACGGACAAAAGTTTCGTTGTTCATTAATAATATCTTATGCAGAAATTTTAGGTTTGTTCACATTGTAACTTTGGAAAAACGTGCATTAGGTACTTCTTTTCGACCTTTAATTTAGTCAAGTCCTAGCTAGAATTTGCGTGCCCGTTCACATGCATAGCAATTATTCTTCTCCTTTTTTTTTTCTTTTTTTTTTTCCTTTCTTTCTTGAGCTCATTTACACAAGTCTATAATTTAATTTGCGATAAGCTTGAAGTTTTAGACTGTCAAATGTAGAAATTACCAATTGCAAATTGCGTGGGTGTAGTGGAATTGTCAATGGGATTTTCTCATGGTAGAACTTTATTGTAAGTAACATGCCTAGTTTGTATCGTTTTCTTTTTCCTCCTTGGTGTTTTTCTCCGTCTTTTCTTTCTGAATTCTTCTTATACATGTGAAAATATTCGACAAAATTCTTTAAGGGAAAAAAAAAATGTGGCGGATCTTAAGCTTTCATCAGCTAGCTTTTTTTTTACTAAATGATATAACATAGGGATCATATTGAAACTTTTTAAAAAGGATAAAAATAGCATTTAAAAATTTTTAACCAAAAAATTGAGTAGAACAATTAATGCTAAATTTTATAATAGATAATTAGTAGTTTAGCGTAGAGAAACAAGTGGTGTTGAATTCATCAAAATCCAGCAAATAAAGAGTGAAGGGGGATAGGGATATTCTCTACTAAACACAGGCAATTTATGTAGTTAACTGACAATACTGCCCTACAAAGTCCAAACATACATGCAGGTATGCTGTCATCAAGCACCCTTAACTCATGGATAAAGTTTTGCAACTTGACAATTGAAATTCTTTTTATGAGAAATTTTGGGTCGGAGAAAACAGTAATTTTGATGATCAATCTTTGAAAATTAAAAGCTAAGAAATAATTCATGGGAATAGAATAATTTTGGTTTATCCAATATTGGAAAAGTAAATGATTTCAAGTAGCTTTTGAAAGCAAGTAAGGATTAAAAAAAAAGAAATTATTAAGTATCGGCTCGCATGGGCTCTTTATTTGCATATTTCTTTTCAATTACACCCTCTTTTTTTTTTTTTGAATAATAAATTGCTATTTAATTTGTAATAAATTTGCATGAATGAGCTCAAATTACCTTTATGGGGGATTAAAAGGATCTATTTGATCTAATTTAAAAAGTTACAGGTTTAATTTGACACAATGTAAACATATGGCGGACCTTCATGAACTCTTGCCATTAAGCATTTCTAAACGGTCCAATTCATTTTAAAAAGAAAAAAAGCACGCTTCTTTTCCTTTCACAATGCACATCGCCCCTTCCAAGTCCCCACCTTAGGAACCTTTTCTATATAAATTAAGATTCTCTCTCTCTTCTCTGTACACGACCTAGCTCTGGCTCTCCTCCTCCACCTCAATTCCTACTCTACTGATACTCATCATTTTCATATTGCAACATTTCAATGGAAAATTTATGCAAATTGTTGCTTTGTTTTCTAGTTTCTACTATGGTGATAGCAGCAGCAGTTGGGAGAGAAATTTATGGGGGAGAAGAAGAAGCGAGAAGAGAAGCTGACAGAGTGACCAACTTGGCTGGACAGCCACGAGTAAAGTTTCAACATTATGCTGGCTATGTAGAACTTAGACCTCAAAATCAAAGGGCATTGTTCTATTGGTTCTTTGAAGCACAAGAGGATGCTTCTCAAAAGCCTATTGTTCTTTGGCTCAATGGAGGTTAGCCCTTCTCCCTTTCTCTCTGCTTAACGGATTTTTATAAAAAATTAAATAAAGTAAGACTTTTACATTGATTGCTTGGGTGGATAGAGACTATAGAGCTAGATAGCTAGAATGCCAAAATTATCACGGGATGTGTGTCCTTTACCATAATATTAATGTATGGGCTAATGTGCTTTTTTTTTTTTTTTATTGAGAGGGTAACCTTGTCTTTTACCATGAAAACAAATGAATAAAGGGTACTCCTTATATATGGAGTTTTGGACTATATATATATATATATATATAAATAAAGATGAGATGAGTAGTTTTTTTAATTACGTAAATTAACATGAACTTATTTCTCTAAAAGAAGAAGTCATCGGATGCATAATTTTTAGATTATATCTGTTTGTGTAATTAATTTTAATGAAAAAGAAGAAGGAAATAAAAGAGATTTATTTATTTAATGATTAAACGTGCTTGATTTTCTCAATCTCAATTATTAAAAATTTTGTCTTAGTGCAAAAAATGGTTTAAGAATACCCTTAAGTCCTTAAAAAACAGTAAAACAAAAAAGGTTGAAGAATTAATGGATAGATTTTGGACCTAAGTATTAATTCTTGAAAATAGCCTGTAACTTTTTGTCATTTTACCTTCTTATGCTTACTGGTCGTAGTAAGTTAACCAAGTGGAGCAATAGAAAAAGATTAAATTGAACATTCATTGCATACTTTTAGATTATTATTATTATTATTTTCCATACTCTTATATTATTTTATTTTCAGGCATGTAATAACATAATGAAAATTCAGGCAGGCAGTTACTTCCATTTTTATTGTTTTCTTATCCAAATTAAAGTTTCACCTCCAATTTTGATTATATTTATATTTCAAAATCAGTGGATATCAATACCTAGCTTGATCATCTTATATAAACCTTGACTGGCATTAGAACTTAGCTTGATGACGTATTAGCCGTTAGATCATGGTAAACACTGGATGATTTTTCAAGTTCCATTATGCTCTTTATCCCCCTTCAATTATTCTTTGCCAGTTTCTCCCTGTAGCATCTTTTCCTGCTTTTATGCTTTTTTTTCAAAATTTCTTTCTTCTCTTTTGTCCATGAAGGACCCAGTTTGGGTCCCATGGAGTGTAACCGCTGCCATGATGTCTGGCCCATAAAAAGTAGGAAAAATAATAAAAAAAATTGATGAACCACTTGGATGATTCAAATTTTAACTATGATAGATAAATTCAAAAGAATTAATTTAAGTAGAAAAAGTTTTAATTGTTAAAATAAATAATTTTGAATTTAAATTTTTATATATATAAAAAGTTTTTTGAATAATTATATCTGTATGTTTGTGTAGAAAATTAATCTAAATTTTTGAATTTGAAATATTTTAAGAATAAAAAAATAAAATAAAATCATGATAGACAAATCATTGGTATTTTCCTAATTTTTTTTTCTTATAGCACACATAAATTTATTGATTGTAATTGTGGAGACATAAGCGTAAAATTTACAATGGATTAATTTTTTCACGTACTTAAAATAACTAGGTAGCAATATTTGAGGAAATAATTTCTAAATTCCAACTCGACTTGCACAATTTTGTAGAGAATATTAGTGGTGGGTCTCCACCAATTGTCTCTTTCTAATGATGTGGTCAATAATGAACGGTCCAAATGATATGGTCAATATCGGATTAGGCATGAGTAGGATCCATGTTTTTGTAGATGGAAAGATGATGATGCCTAGCTAGCTAGCTGTTTTAACGCGGTCCCTTGGTAGCTAGCTACTTAGAAAGAGAAATAAATTAATTGAGAGGGTTCGTTAATAATAATAAATAAATAAATAAAATTGATAAAAAAAGATTTTAATTTGTCCATATCAATTAGGACCTGGGTGCTCGTCTATAGCGTATGGTGCAGCACAAGAACTTGGGCCATTTTTAGTTAGGGGAAATGGAACGCAGCTTATGCTCAACCAATATTCTTGGAACAAAGGTACGTAATGTGTTAATTGAATGAGTTTGTTATGTATTAGATAATTGCATATATATATATTGCTAGTTGATCTAATTATACGTACAATATATGTACGTTTTGATTGTGTTAATTTGTGATTATATATTATATATTAGCTGCAAATATGCTGTTTGTGGAGGCTCCTGTGGGTGTGGGCTTTTCATATACAAATAATTCGGAAGATCTACATAAACTTGGTGATAAAGTTACAGCTGATGATTCTCATGCATTCTTAATCAATTGGTTCAAAAGGTTCCCAACTTTCAAATCGCATGATTTTTATATAGCTGGAGAGAGCTATGCCGGTACGTAACACTACCCTTGCTTTTATAATTAATTAATTACATTTTCTCCATGTTAATTTGTCATATTATTAATTTTTTCTTCTTATAGAGTTAACTCCACTTTGAGCTAAAATTAATTAAGCTTATTGCTACAATCACTCATTGCTCTTTTAATCAGGACACTATGTTCCCCAACTAGCTGAGCTCATTTACGAAAGAAACAAAGGATCTACAAAAGACTCCTACATAAATCTCAAGGGTTTCATGGTATTATTTAGTGATTATATCTATATGCCTGTTCTTTTTTTTCCTGTCAAATTAACTGTCTTTGTGTCTAGTACTTAACTAATACTTCATTAAAATACTAATGCCATTACTATTGTATATATGAAAAAAAAAAAATAGATCGGGAACGCTGTGATCAATGACGAAACTGACTCTGCGGGCATTGTGGATTATGCGTGGAGTCATGCCATTATCTCAGACCAACTCTACCACAACATAAAGGAATGTGATAATCGAGAAAGCATAACAAATCAATGTGTTGTCCATTACAGAGGGTTCGCAGAAGCTTATTCAGATATCGATATTTATAGCATCTACACTCCAGTCTGTCCCTTCGACTTTTCTACTCGAATTTCCTCCAAACTTGTCGTTGCACCTCTCCTTCTTTCAGCATTACATGTAAGACCACAAAAACACATCGATCAATCTCTTATTTAGTTTCCATTACTTAGCCGATCGAAGGATTAGTGGGAAATGTATCAATAAATTTGATGCAGCTACCTACTCATTTAATTGGTTCAAAGAATTTTAAAGTAATTAGTATGCTACGTACTGCGAAATATATACTCCTATATATAGCTGGTTTTGTACAGGATCGAAATAACAAGCACACAACAACAATTGCTCTATATAGATTGGTATATAAGAATTAATAGGCATGCATCTTGATTTCAGGACCTAGGGCATAAGCTACCTTCAGGCTATGATCCTTGTACGGAAGGTTATGCAGAGAAGTTTTTCAATAGAGAGGATGTTCAGATGGCCCTGCATGCTAATGTCACCAAGTTATCTTATCCTTATACACCATGCAGGTATAACCAACCTATGCAATTCATACTAGTATATATAAGAGTATGAAATTTAGTTTAACTTAAAACATATAAGTCTAATTATTACTTTGAATATTATTATTATTATTATTATTATTATTATTATTTGAATTAAAAATGATTATAAAAATTGGCAAAAACTAAGTTTTGTTTCCAGCCAATTACCTATTTCTTAATTTCATTCTAATAATAATAATAATAATAATAATAATAATAATAATTTTATCAATTAGGTTATTTATTTATTTATTTTGATCAATTATATAGGTTCTTAATATTTCACAAGCATTTCTCAACTGGATTCATTTTTCCATGTCTGATAAAATTTTCAATTTAATGTGAAAGTTTTGCAATCGAATGTGCCTTTTTGAAGAGAATTTGATGAAAAAAAAATCTATTAAAGAAATATTTCAAACCTGATTAATTTGCACTTATTTATTTATTTATTTATTATTGTTTTATGATGAAATGGAGAATTGAGTAAAAGAAAGAAAGAAAGAAAAAAATTCCGAAACCCAATTGATACTTTTTAATTATATTGAGAAATTGGGTGATATCGATGGTGTCTGTCTGCTACGAAGAAGAAAAAGTTGTATACAAATCTTTAATTGAGATCTATCCCAATATATAGTGCCATTTTTTGAAGGTGTTACACATACACGTAAATACACATATAGACATTTTTCTTGGGTGGGAAAGTGATAAAAATTGACTAGAGAAAACCTGTAACTTTCAAGCATTTAATTAGTGAGAGCAATTGTCAAGTCATCGAACTATTGCTTTCTTTCTTCCTGTTTTCTCATAGAAAATTTAATGAGAAATGTAGCAGATCGATTGGGATTGATCTTGATGACTGCTCTCTTTCACTTCCTTATAGCTTTCACCCACCCTTCTCCAACCATTCTAACTGCTAGCTAGCTTTTTGGTAGAAAAGCACACGAATAACAAAACAATAGTACGCAATATGAGGTCACATCGTCGAGTTATACATATATATATATATGGGGGCCAACCTTAATTGAGGTGAAGACAAGAAGAACTTGTGTTCTTCCATTGTCCATGGCTTTAATTTTCAAAAGAATGTCCTCAAATTATGCTACTTTTTTCCCATGTTAATTAGTACACTCATTTCATTTTCTTTTTTTCCCTCTCATTACATTATATACATATATGAGAGGAATTACACGACGAAGTACTATTGATTCTTTCTAGGGTAACAATAATGTGAAGTTAATTTGGAAGAGGTTATTCCTGCGGTTACCCCCTTTACCTCCTTAAAATGAAACCAGAAATGGGTGTGCACATACAAATTAAGTACTCCAAATTGAATATTTAGTCCAGTGATGAGGCCAGAAGCCATGGATATGACTAAAATGTTTAAATCTTTGTTGTTGGTGGCATGAGCAGCAATGTAATTCAGAAGTGGAATGACTCTGCGGAAACAATCCTGCCCATCATTAAGAAGCTTTTGAATGCTGGATTGCGTATTTGGATCTATAGGTACAGTACTCCATTTTCTTTGCTCAATCCCATTTTCTTTTATCTAATGAATTTTGCGAAAATGTGTTTTGAAAGGCGTATATATATATTAAGAACAGGTTTTAAAATTGAAAAAAAAAAATCTATGGTAACATTCTAGGTTATGAACCATTGGATTATTCGGTTGCTGCAGACGAAATAATTAACTTTTAACATGTGATTGCTTAAAGACACTAATTAGCCAAATCCTTATTAAAGGTTGAGAAATGAGTTAGTGGTAATTAGCCACTTTTTTTTTTTTTTTTTTTTTTTTTTTTGAGGAGGAGATGAAAATGGGTTTTCAAATTCTCTTGTAAGTAAAAAAAATCATGAAAAGAAAAGATTATTGCTTTCATTTAATATTAATAGCAATAGTAATAACAACGATGCAGTGGTGACACCGATGGAAGAGTACCAGTAACATCGACAAGATACAGCATAAACAAAATGAGGTTAAGAGTGAAGGAAGAATGGAGGGCATGGTTTCATAAGAGTCAAGTGGCTGGATGGGTGGAGACATACGAAGGTGGGCTTGTATTGGCCACCGTACGGGGTGCAGGCCACCAGGTCCCAGTTTTTGCACCTCAGCAGTCCCTCTCTCTCTTCTCTCACTTCCTATCTGCCAAAACCTTGCCAGCTTCTTCCAAGTTTTAGTTGCTATAGTATTGGTACTCGTGCTCAAGAAAAAAAAAAAAAAAAGAATGTGACCAATCATTGACTATGTTCAACAAAATTTGGACACCTTTTGCCTACATTGGAATGTGTAATTTATTAGATACTCTTTCATTTTCTCTGTCTCGTGCATTTCTTAAAATTCAGAGTTTTAAATTTGGACTGGTTTTAAACAATTAATGAATTCTCTTCATATAACATGAAAAATACAAAAGTTGAGAGGATTAAAAAGATGGGAAAAACATATCAAAATTACATTATTATATCGATTTTTTTTTTTTTTTTTGCCATAATAATCATGGAAGATCAAAGAAGAAACAGAAGAAATTATACTAAACAATGAAGTCTGTCCATATATACTTTAAAGTTGGGATGAATTACTTTACAAAAATTTTTGATATGAATATGAAAGAAAAAGGGAGGTTTACACTTTCAAATCGAGTTCCAAGTAAATTGCATGTTTTGTAGCCTGGGGACGACTGTCCATGCATCCTTATCCATACAATACAATACAATAAAGTATGTCTAATTAAAATATTTAGATATCCACCTTAATAACATGTCTTTTTCCTTTTTGTTTTGTTCAGATTCTTTTATTCTTGCTTCTTCTTCTTCTTTTTTTTAAAGCAAATGCATAATTAGATGATGGTCTCTTATTTGAAAGTTCTTCCTTGAAGTTTGATATATGACTAGTAAAAACTATATGTGTAATTTTACAGAAATGCTATAATAATAATAATAATAATAATAATAATAATAAGACAATGTATATTACAAGACTATTGTTAGCAATTATATCGGTGAGATTTTGTGTACTTGATTAGAGTCCCTCTAATTCTGACATATAGTGGTTACTTTATAAATTATTTTGATGTTAGGTTGGAATTGCTTGTTGAAGTTTGATACACTTAATTAATTCGACCTAACCTTAAACTATATACTATTTCTATTGGACCGTATAAAAAGTTCCTCTGCTTTGGACCATTTTGATCCACCATTTCTAGCTAAAGTTTTTGTCTGCTTGATCAAGGGCCCTCATCAACGACGAGAAAAAGGATTGTGAACAAAACTAATTCATTGATATTAATTATGTGTTTCGAGAGATGAAATCAAAACTTTTTTCATAACTTTGAATGAAACGGATCAAAAGGAACCGAAGGCTCTTTAATTACTACATGTGTTAAGAATTATTAGCACGCTTAAATAAGCAATAAACTCAATCAAATCGTGAAATAATGGTAAGAAAGTATCGTTTTTATGAGGAATTAAATTACACTATTAAGATTGTCTAACTTAGAATAAGTTGAATTAAACAAAACAATAAAGAGTATGAAAACTAAATTAAAACTTAACTCTAAATTTATAGAATTAAAAATTACCGACAAGATGATATGAAAATAGCTTGGGATAAATTCATTTTTTTTTAAAGAACAAAGACGGTACCTTGAAATTAAATCAATGAAACGTGAAAAAAGACAAGGGAGGACAATCCAACCTAACCTAACGAGCTAGGAGGGCAAGTAAGCCTAAACCTTTGAAAAAGAAAAATAAAGAGTGAACCCTACAATATACACAAAGACGGAAGAACTATAGAGTAACAAAATTAAAATAGGTTAACCCTGCTGAGAATTAAACACTCATTATGGATGCAAGTTAAACAAACCAAATCTATCATCCAAGAAAGCCGATCTACAAGTAGAAGGCATATCATTTATTGAAAACAACGTCTTACAAGAAGTGTGCTAAAAGGCCTAGTTTGCAAACCTATCCACGGACTTGTTATCTTCTCGAAAACAATGCTCGAATGTGAACACCTAAATGAATAATAGCTGAGCATTTCCCGAAAATATATGTAAGATGCCAAGGACTAGAAACGAGTTTATGAGATATAACCCAAAGTCAAAGACAAGTCAACCTTAATAATGTCATATAAAATGTTATACTCTTTGCATAATTTTAGCTCCTCCAAGCAAAGCTAAAGCCTCCCTCATGGAGTTAGTCCTTGGACCAAAAAAAACTTGTAAATGCCATACAAGATTGCCTTTATCATTATAAACCAAGCCTCCACCATTGTATTGATTGTCCTTTGAAGCCCCATCACCGTTAAGCTTTAAATTGCCCATTGGATGTAGAAGTCTGTTTGATCCAATATCCTTTGATAAGAGTGGTTGACACAAGAGAAAGACCTAAGGCACTTAGACATAAACTCGTCATGGAAGGGAGTTGTTATTCTATTCGGGCAGTAATAGATAGGAGAGTTCATATAGCCAAAGGACAACTCTATGCTTGATTTTCAACCAACACATCTTTTCATTATCAAAGACTAATTTATTCCTAACAAATCATAACTTTCACAATATACTATTACAAATAATCATCTTTGTAAAATATTTTATGAAGAAACTTTACCTTTGCGGAACCATATCAAATCTAGATGTTCAATGATCTTGACCTCTTTTTGGACATCCATTATGCTCGTAAAAAATTGCCACGGGAGAGTAACAATCTCTCCATGCAAGAAAAAGATGGTTTGTGGATTCTACACTTGGAGAAGTGTAGAAATGACATTTCAAAACCAAAGAAATTCCACACACCTTAATATTCTCATCCATTGCCATTGCATTGCATAACGACTTCCAAACAACGAAGCCTACATTTCATAGAATCCATTGATTCCGGAGACTCCTCTACCATACGAAGCGAGGAGCAACTACCCTTGTTGCATCGTGATATTTTTTAATACTAAAAGCTAACATTTTAGAACTAGTAAAGCATAGCTTATCCTTTATATTATTCTCAAAAAACAAAAGGTCTAGTTCTTGTTAGATAAGAGAGGGGAGAGAGTTATAAACATATGGATTTACAATGGCTTGCTCAACCGTTATGGCCGTGTCTCCGAGTGGAGAAAGGAAGATCGGTAATTGTCCATTTATCTTTTCATAACTTCATATTACTATAATCGAACACCTAGATACAATGCTCTAGAAGGTAGCAAATGTAGGGGAGCGAGTGCCTTCCAAACCATAGAGCCTTTGTGTCTATTTAAAGTAGCTAAATAGGTCGGTTCACCATATTTCACTCTTATATATAAACTATATAATGATGAATTGGTCGGAAATGACCATGCAAGCTTCCCCTTCATTGAGAGCATAATTTCATGTAAGTTTTTTTTTATGTTAAAACCCCCTCTTGGATAGGCGAGTCTTCGCTATTTTCCGACTAACCTAATGATGCCTTTTTTCTCCACCGTTATTTCATAAGAAATTAGATATATAGCTTTGCATTATGCTAATTGAAGCCTTTGAAATAGGAAGAAACCCTATTGTGTAGATGGGGATAGACGTTAGCATTGATTATATCAAAGTGATTTTACCACCCACATACAATAATTTGCCTTTCCATCCAACCACCTTATCTTTTGATTTTTCCCTATAATGCTACAAAGAATTCCATGCAAGGCCTACCCTTAAATAAAGGCATACTCATATATGTTATTACCTAAGAAGAAGGAGAGAAACCAATCCATGTTACTAGTAGCGGTTTCCTTCTTCGAGGCGAACTTACTTTACAAAGGAAAAAGCTTTTTCTATGGTTTATCAACTAACCACTTACTAAAGAATACTCTTGCAAAAGAGCTTGTATTTTGTCCATGTTTTTCTTGCTACCATTGCAAACTAGTAATATTTTATCTACAAATAATAGGTAAGAAACAAAAGCTGCTATCCTGCTAGAATAATAAGGAGAAATGATTCCCTGCTCTATCTTTGCATTTAATTTTCTATTGAAGGCTTCTTGGGCAAGAATGAATAATGCTTGGAGAGAGTGCATCCCTTTACCTTACCCTATGAGATAATTTGAAAAAACCAAAGTTCTTAGAGTTTAAATTGTTTATATACCAATAATTGCACAAACATTTATAGATTAGATCACACAAACTCTTGGAGAATCCAAATTTCCTTAAAACTTGTAGGAGAAAGTCCCATTCTAATCTATCATGAGCTTTTACCATGTCCATTTTCAATATTATATTTCCCCTATGAATCTTTCCGTCAATCTCAATAAACATCTCCTACATTAGAGCCATATTTTCATGTATCAACCCTTATTTCACAAATCCCGATTATTCTTTAGAGATTAAAAAAGGTAGCACTCACCTAATCTATCATTGATGATACAGGAAAGAATTTTGTAAGTAAAATTATTGAGTTTAATAGGTCTCATATCGGTAAAAGTAGTTGGCCTAGAGCATTTCGGAATTAATACCATGGAGGTAGTAGTGGTTCCTTTGGGTATCTCTCCCCTCTTGAAGACATCTTGAATGGTAGCTACCACATATTCAAAAATGATACCCTCAAATAATATAAAGCCATCAAGACCTAGTGCACTTAGGTCATCCAACCCAATTACTAATGCGTTGATCTCTTCCACTTGAGGAATGGTCATCGGGGATGCATTTTGTTGATGGCTAACTAGTTTAGAAATATTATGAAGGAAAGATATTGACATGGCCTACAATTCACTTTTAAAGAAGCCCGAAAATATCCACAATCGTATCCCCAAGCTTACTATCATATATACATTCACTCGCCATCCTCTAGTGTAAGAGTAAATTTGGATTTAATTGATCTATTTCTAATGCAAGCATGGAAGAAGGCTGAGTTATGGTCACCTAATTTCAGCCATTTTACTTATGATTTTTTTTACAACAATTATTCCTCCCGGTTTTCGTGTTTTGCCACAGTTGTCCTTGGCAGTAGTAGACTTTGAAAAATTCTCCTAAATCCACTAAGTCCGTAACAAGGTTTCTATGTGTATGACTTCATCCCTAGCATGATTTAACTAATGATTTATATCCCTAAAAACCTTTGAGTTCCAAGCCTTTAAATCCTCTCGTAGTGCTTTAAGTTTTAGTTGAAGGTTAAGGAAAGGTAAGTTACTATATGAAGATTGCCGGTGCAAGTGAACAAATGGAAGAAAATTTT